CTGTATGCCTCAGTTGTACTTGCAACTTTTCAATTCAAGTTGTTATTTTCCTTAGTGGAATTCTTGCCAAACTTCTGTGTAAACACAAGCTAGTAGTAAGAACGTTAGCGCAGAGCTACGATCACTCGCACAACCCCGTGCCCTCCACCGTAGTCCACTCCCGTTGTGTAGTGACTCTCCGCAGTTTTTGCCACCACTCCAAGGCCGGGCCCCTCAGCAGCGTAACGAAGTACTCGATCCGCTGCTGCGCGTCCGCCTCTTGCACCCCGCTCGCGGCGAAGTAGTTGTTGAGAATGAAGATCCACGTCCGCACGTTCCCGTCGCGTTGACTTGGGCCGAACGGCTCGTGCTTCTGCGGCTTCAGTGCGCTTCGACGTTCCGGCAGCGCTTCCGCGCCAACCGACGTGTTGGGTGCAGGAGATGGTGCGGCATGACCAAGAGGAATAGACGCGAATTCACGAAGCTGTTGCATTTCAGCTCGTACCTGACAATTTTCATGCGTCAACGTTTCGAGTTGGCGCATGAGTTCGGCAAGCGCGTTGCCCATTTCGTTGGGGAGAGCGTTCATGGCTTCGTCCATGTCGGCTCGACAACTCCAAGTCAGCAAGTCAGCACTGCAGGACGTTGGCGTCGTAGTCTCGTCATCGACGGTCGCTCGTTGGAAGTCGCTCCCCGCGAAGGCTCTTGATACCAAGTGTTAGACCCCTTGGGCTAAATCCGTTAGGGAATAGTGGGGTCGACTAAGTCGAGGATGAAACTCGGCGGAAGACTTTGGCGAATAATGTATTTGCGAAATAGGCGAAAGAGTTACTGATTAAGAATTGAATGAGAATTGGTTGATATTGGCGAATACAAGCAAGGTTGACATAGTATGCAACGGCGAATGTTGGAAAGTAGTTCGTTGGACTAGAAATGGGAATCCAAGAAAACTAGTGCCACGTGGCGGATAGGAAATCCTGGAAATCCTGAAGAGATTGGATGAACGTAAGGTTGGGATGGGGTTGGGGTATTCTTTAGGGTAAACATCCCTTGAGCAGTAAACTATCCCGTAACGGAAAATATGTCAAATTTCTGTAACGAATTTCACTTTAGCAAGCTAACGAGTTCAAATCTCGATTCCGTGCACTCTCGGCTCACTTGCTACGCGTCCAGTCAGCATCTGCCGTCATTTTGCACTTGTGTAGTGAGTAATTTACTCGTGTAGGGTCGCAACGAAATCCGTCGATGACCTTATCGCAAAGTGGGAGTTTTGGAACATTCACGTGTGACAAATTACATAGCCCCTGACTTCTGGGTGTTTGATGGATCAAACCCGAAAATTAGTGAACCTGAATTCCTGTCTTCTGGGCGGCTCAAAGCTATTCAAACCAACCCCCCCCCTCAACACAATTTGTGAACCTTGTGTGAGCACAGCAATTCGACTGTTGAGACGAAACCCGGACAGCAGTCTAGCTGATGTGGACATATCTGAGCCGTCCTCACTTTTGTGTCATTATGCGGTACGGAGTCTTGATTTGCGTACACGTTGGTCGGCTCGATATCCCCACTTGGGCTTCTTCCATGTCTTATCTTCAAAACCCCATGAAATAACTGTCGATCTCGAGAAAAATGCGTCCAATGCTGTAAGATGCAACTTGACAAATAACGTGGAACAACACAGAGCCAGCTTTGCACAGAACGTGTAACTTAGCTCGGTCGTGACAAAGGATGTTGATATCGGGATTACACTGGATTTCTATTGGAGTTCTAGCTTTCGGGCTGGGAAAATCATAGACCTGTATGTCATCCGCCTTACCAGCCTTAACTATGTCGTGAGAACAATGGGCTGACTCGCTTGTTCTTATAGTAAACGGTCACAAATCGCAATGACAAGCAAGAGTCGTAACAGTGCGCTGCGCGTGGGCTTGTAACGATGGGGTAGTTGCCCGTAAAACCCGACCAGTTTGGCTGGCGGGTGTAAGAGAGGGAATAAGGTGGACGTTTCGCGAGCAGAATTTGTACCTGGAAATTTTACGTTTCTTGGTGCTTGGGAAACATACACGAACGTGCTTCTACACGTACGAAGTGCGCTCCAAGTACTGTATGAATCTCGGCAGGTCCCTGTTCTGAAGGAATTTATTCCCTGGGTTTCCTGAATCACCCGTTACTTTCAAGATCTCACCCTGCTAAAAACAAGTCTACGGAATCTCGACTCGGTCCATTTCTGAGTGAGTTTTGAGGCTACTGGATCTGATTTTCGAGTTGCTACTGTTTTACTGCACCAAATTACCCGCACAGCACTTCTCCGTTGTTGAAGATTCGTTTAGCTAGAATTTCGGCTAGCTAGAATTTCGTTCCTTAAAATTCGAAAGAAGTCTAAAGTAGCAGATATGGGTGCTAGACGACATTTGAGTGCGCCACCAGAGAGTGTTCGATGTCATCAAAGGTAGGGCACATAAAATTTCGCATACTTGTCATGGTATACTGAGAGTCAAATAGCAAAAAAGGGGTTCCTTTCCCTTCGTGGCTGCTCCGTGGGACACTGAACTGCCTGGGACTACCAAGTTTCAAGCTATAATACCCTGAAGTTGAAGCTGATAGTTGGGCCACGGCTTTAAATAGGACGATATGAGCTGTTGTTTCAACTGTATGGTCAGACGAAGTGTGACCCGGATTTGCAGAATCAATTATGTATTTACTTGGCCTGTTTTTGAAAACTTCGGTGAAACCAGGTTCATACATTCAGGGCGCCACCCTAAATTTCCAGGGTTCTGGACCGGGAGCGCGCATCTCCAACCCTGAAAAGGAAGAGTGGCCCAAAACGAAATGGGAGGCTGTCCCAGGTTGTGCTAGCCTCAGCACCACAATTAGCTGGTTGTGCCAGTTGTCGCCAATGCTGTTAACTGCGGTGCTCAAGCCAAGAGAATATCTCATCGACGCTAAATCTTGTCGGTTATTAATACCTAGACATTTCTTGCCACTCATCCACCCCTTCAAGTGGGGCACTTGAACTGTGTGTGTGTGTGTGTGTGCCATGACATCTCTTTTTGTTTTTCGGTGTACCAGCTGTGGACACTTCAGCATGCAAAGTCATACATGTGAGTCTACCCGCAGTACCATTGTGTGTGTGTGTGTAGATTGCATAGCAATAGACCTCTGTAGTAGCCCTTTCTCCCTGGAGATCCCCGTCACAAAATGTGGATGTAAATTTTTTATGTCGCCGAGGTTTTATATCCACCACACCTGGGTGCAATTTGACAAGACCTGGGCGGGAGGGGCGATATTGTGGGTCCATTGGACAAGAACTCCATTCAGCAAATCGCTGATGTACTTGCAACAGGGTACTAACCCTTGAGAACTGTGAGGTTCGGTATGTGGGATTCAATTGGGTGGAACAACGGTTACTCAGAGCTTCTTGTGGGGTACGCCTACTTTTGGGGGCGGTGTATCGTAATACTCCAACCGCTTCCTACCAAAGCTGCACGCACGGGTTACGGGAACCTCCACCTTGTCAGGCCTCATTCAGGGAGAAAAGACCCTGAGCTAGCTGGATGACTTCATCCGTTCTTTGGAGGGGAAGTCTGGTCCTCCCTCCCCACTATTGGGAAGTTTGGGCCGAAGCCCGGACCTCCATACAGCAATTTTCCTCCAGCCCTTACCGAGGCCGTTGTGCTGCAGCAATTTGCCACACCACATCAGTTTCCGAATCATGTCTGGGCCAATTTTCATTGCAACAGAACCACAAAGTCTCATCATCTCCCGTTTTCTGCCAATAGAATTTTCCGCATTCATCGTGTGAGTCGATGTGGCATTTCGTCACTCGTGTGGTGATAGCAGGTTTTTGACTCCAACCCCTCAGTGGGTAACACCGTCAAATCCTATCAGCCCAGAACAAGCAGGGTACTTACTGACTGCTACCAGTGTTTTTATAATAATATTACAAAATCTCAAAGCATCCGTTGCCTTCGTGTTTTGTAGCAAGTTGCAGCTTTGATTCGAAATCGCACGGAAATTATTTTGGTGTAACCACTAAAAACCCACACTTACTATGCTATCTTCTACAGTTTGCTGAAGAGATTCGGCGATCTCTGGCAGGAATAGCACTGTCGCTGTAAATTATTTTTAGGAACAGAACAAAAAAGCAGTTCGAACTTCTTCCTAATATGCAGAGGCTCCGGTTTGAGACAAAGGTAAGACACCCATTCTCAAACATTTCTGCTCAGATGATGCCATGACTCGACAACTGACAGCCAGCAACCACTCAAATCACGCGAGCAAGTCGATGAGAGGAGAGAAGCTCGCGTCTTGTCTTGTCTTGTCACTCCCTACACAAGCCTTGCAGTGGACTTATCCAACCGAATTAGTTAACCGCGTTGTGGGAGGAGAGTTGGCCTCACTGTAACACGTTCAAGAGTCTGAACTGTATCTTCCAGCGACGTTCTAATGCTTCCCAGACTTGGCAAGTAGTAAGAGTGGCAATGGTGGCATGCGCCTTACGCGGCAAGACCCATGATGTTTTGTGACGAGCGTTGATAAAAACAATCAAAACAGCCCAAATTGGCTCCTACGCGTGTGTTCCTCTTGCCGCGTCCTTCATCCCTGTCAGAAGGCAACATTCAGGACACTGGATCCGTCTTCATGCGGTCTGAGAAATGGGCCGAGACGCCGCAAGCTCGTTCTGAAAATGCTTGAAGCAGCGGGAAGATAAGTTCTTGGCAATACGAAACTCGTCGCATCCCGCCCGCAGCCCCAAGGGCTGTGCCCGCAGCATTCTTTCAAAACGAAATTACACGTACTCGCCGAGTCGCGCCACTGCTTCTTTTCTGATTCACCGCGTGATGAACGATCATGATCGCAGGCCACCATCGCCGGCGACAAAAGCGGAAAGAGTCAGTGTGCGCGGCGAATCTGCAGCCGGCGGCGGGGGCGGCCGCGGAGTCCCGCCCCCCCCAATCATGGCGACTCCGCTTCAGGAGCAGACCACCGCCCTTTCCTCTGCGCGAATCCCCACCAGTGGAGCAATGACCGCAGCCGACGCCGCGTCAGCGCAATGCGGCGGCGCCGCCGAAAGCACTGCTATCGCCAACCCGAATGTCGCGGCGGAGAATGCGGCGGCGTTGCTAATAAGCAGCTCTCCGAGCAATCACGGATTTTTACTACCCACAACAGGGCTCGATCGCACGACCTTTCCGCATTGGATGCTCGGATCTGCAACTGCCCCTCCAGCAGGCGATCATAGCGGCGGCGACGTTGTTCCCCCACCTGCAACTGCGGCGACACCGCTGGATCCGGCGATTGCCGCCAGCGGGGCCGCCGCCGCCGCATTGCGGCTTGCGCCCTTCGCGTCCGCCATGGACGCTCTCCGCGCGACGTCCCACCGCACGTGGGAGGCGGCGGCGGCGGCGGCTACTGCGGTGGATTCGCCTTCAGCGGCGCAAGGTAGTTCCGCGCAACAAGGCGGACTTGACGGCGGAAGCAACAGCGCGCTGCTAGATCTCGCACTGCAGGCCGCAATGCGGCCTGTTTTTTCAGGAGCGCAGCCTTTCTTTTCTCCCCCATTCCGCGCACCGCCTCCTATGCTACCTATAACGCATTTTTCAATGGCTCCGCCCATCGGTACTAGCGGCTCCGCGGCACCTGCTACCCCTTCCGCCGCTGCTTTCGCCGCCGCCGCAGCGCCTGCCCCGGGGACGCATCTACCGTTCTCTTCTCAGATTTCGCGCCTGTCCGCGCATCCTTGCGCATCTCCGCCCCAGTTTTTCCCCGATCCGCGCCTGTTTCTCACGCGGCCAACCCAACTGCAAGCCGCCGACACCGTCGGCGCAACCCCAGCCTCCGCCCTCGCCGCCTCCGCCACCGCGGGTGACCTGGGCGGTGCTGTTGCAGCGCACGCCGCCGCCACCGCCATTGCAGAGGGGGAACTCCGCGCTGCAAGCTTGATGGATGAGGGGAAGCGGGAAGGGGGAGGGGTGGTGGCGGTAGGCGGCAAGGGGGAATGGGGCGAGGGGTATGATTGTGTTGGGAGAGGTGGCGGTGACCTGGGCGGCAGGGATGACGTGGACACAATGATGAAGGCCGAGAGTGATGCTGACGTGGCGAGTGGTGACAACAGCGGTGGCGGTTGCAGTGAAGATGAGGAAGACGATGAGCATGAAGGGGATGAGGGGCATGGGGGACAGGAGGGGCAGGAGAGGCATGCGGGACATGGGGGGCATGGGGAGCATGGGGGGAATGGGGAGCATGGAGGGAACGGTAGGGGGCATGGGGGACACGAAGAAGAAGCAGGGGAAGAGGAGAAAGGGCAACTGCAGCAGCCGCGGCAAGAGAGACAAACGCAGAATCAGCAGAATGAGCAGAATCAGCAGAATCAGCGTGGGGCTCAAAGGCTTTCCCGCGGCTCCACTAGGGCGGCCAGTGGCCCTCACCAGTCAAGGTACGCTGGTTGGTGGGGTGCTCATTTGTGAAAGGCCGGAAGGGGAACGGCTGGGTCCGAACGGCTGGGTCCAAACGGCTGATGCATTCTTTGCTCGCTTGCGCACCCACCTAATTCGAAATTTCTCGTTGAAACTTTGGTTGGTGCGCAACGGGCACGAATTACCACATGGCATGTCACGGCATGGCTTTGCAATGCATGTCCCCATGGCATGGCATGGCATGGCACGGCATGGCATGGTATGGCACGGCATGGCATGACATGGCATGGCACGGCATGGCATCGCATGGCACCGCATGGCATGGCATGGCATGGCATGGCATGGCACGGCATGGCATGGCATGGCACGGCATGGCATGGGAATGCAGGAAGCGCAAGCCAGTGGTGCATGCAGGGAGCCGCTCAGTGGTGGCTGAGGATGGCTACTTCTGGCACAAGTACGGCCAGAAGACTGTCATGGACCGTGCGGTTACCAGGTAACCTTTAGCACAAGCACAGCCAGAAAGCTGCCGTGGATGGCATGCGGTTACCAGGTAGGCCAAAAGCGTGATGTGCTGAACTTGACGCAACCCTGATCATGAAACCTGAACGTCCAGAACTCGAAACTTGACATGCAACTTGAACCCCTTGACATCCTCGGATCAACTCGCAACCAATCTCCCGCTCCCCTCCTCTTTTCCCTTCCCCTTCCCACCCAAGGGCGTATTTCCGGTGTGCCCGCCACAGCATGGGCTGCCAGGCCAAGAAAACCATCGACTCGCCACTCGTCCTTGACCCTGCTATAGTCGCTGCTACAACCGCTGCTACAGCTGCTGCAGATACACACACGACTGCTTCTGATCCATCTTCCCCTGTCACAAGCCCTACAGCCAAGGCAGAACCCTGCACAGATGCATCCGGCGCTACAGCCGGCACTACAGCCGGCGCTACAGCTGTCGTTACAGCCGGTGCTGCCACTGCCACCCGAAGCAGCAGCACCGGCACTCCGAGAAAACCTTCAGCTGCATCTGGTGCAGCTGCTTCTGCTGCTGCTAGTGCTGCTCCCGAAGCTGCTGGTGGCGCGGGTGGCGCCGGCAACAACATCGGCAGCGTGGTGTATCACGGAACACACAACCACGCCAAGCCTGGTGCCAGTGCCTCAGAAGCTTTCACCCGAGTCATACGCGTTCCCACCTCCCTCCATCCATCCCTCTCCGCCTCCTTCCCTCCCTCCCCGCTGCCCCCTTCGCTCTCTTCCCCACTCCCTCCCGCTTTCTCTGTCTCATTCCCTCGCTCGCTCTCTGCCAACGTCCCTTCTGCGCTCGTGAGCTCACAGGGAGCCACAGCAGGAAGCGGAGCAGCAAGAGCAGCCGGCTTGGGAGGACCAGAAGCAGCAGAAGCAGCAGTAGCAGGAGGGGCGGGGATGGGACGAGGAATGACAGAAGAAGCAAAAGGATTGCAGGGGAGGTCAGGCGAAGCAGGCATGGTGCTGAGCCCTCATCGGACCATCAAGAGGGCTGCATCTGACGGCTCACATGCAACCTCGCATGTTCACATGCTCTCGGCCTCACTGGCCCTTAACCCTGCCCAAGGCACTTCTACACTCTTCGCTGCAGCCGCGGCAGCAGCAGCGGCAGCCGCTGCCGCTGCTACAATGGCAGCGCCGGGAGGTGGTGTTGGTGGCACTGCTGCTGCTGCTACTACCGCTGCTGCTGCTGCGGCCCCTGCCGGGCCTTTTTTCTCACCCCTGGTTACCTCTCTTCACCGCTCTGAAAACCCCATGGCGGACTCTTCAATGAGAGGCTTGCCATCAATCGCAGGCAGCCCTGTTTTTCCACACACGGGGGCATCTGGTGGACCTTTTTGCGCATCTGGGGGGAAGTTTGACTCGTCTGTGGCTCCCTTTCGCTCCCTAGCCATGCTGCAAGCAGTGCAGTTTCAGCAGTTTCAGCAGTCCCAGCTACAGCAGTCTCAGCTGCAGCAGTCTCAGCTACAGCAGTCTCAGCTGCAGCAGTCTCAGCTACAGCAGTCTCAGCTACAGCAGTCTCAGCTACAGCAGTCTCAGCTGCAGCAGTCCCAGTCCCAGCTACAGCAGTCCCAACCACAGCCGGCACTGCAACACCCGTTCGTGCAGCCACCACCACACTTCCAGCCGTCCTCGTTTCAAACATCCCCGTTTCAAGCACCCCCGTTTCAAGCACCTGCGTTTCAATCCACGGTTCAAGTGATAAATCATCTGAACAACGCTAACCATTTTGTGACGTCAGCAGGTCCCCTTTCCGCATCAGCATTCCATGTAACACAGTCAGCTGCGCTCATGCCACTTCAGCACGCAGCCTTCTTATCTCCCCTTTCCCAACAACAGCAACAACCGCAACAGCAGAAACAGCAACCGCAACAGCAACAGCAGCAACAGCAGCAGCAGCAGCAGCAGCAACAGCAACAAGCAGCACCACTGGAGTCTTTGCCACGTCAGCAGCAGCTAACCAGCCAATCGGCTGCCAGTGCCAGCACACTCCCCCTGTCAGCGCAACCATCCAGTGGGACCATGATGGCACCGCCACCGCCATTGTCCCGACCACCAAGTTTCGAGGCGTCGAGCCAAGTCTCTACTCGACCTGTATTGCTGGCAGCAGCACACACGCACCCTGCAACTGCGGCCTTTGATTGGCCGCACCAACCAAACCAAACCCAACCGACTCAGACCCATTCGTCCCAAGTTCATTCGACTCATAACCAGTCGGTTCAGAACCCGCCGCTTGCACCCCTCGCATCCCTCGCACCCCTTGCACCCCTCGCATCCCTTGCACCCTGTGCACCCCTTGTAGCACAGCCAAGGCCAGCAAGCGGGCAATCTAGCTCCACCTCCTCTCACCCCCCCTCTGACGTCATCAGCCCCTCCTCCTGCTCCAACCCCTCCCCCCGGCCTCTTCCCGCTGCCGCCCCTGCCCCAGTGCTACCGCCCGGAAAATCTGAGCCACGAGATGACGGCGGGAGAGCGGCAGCTGGCGAGGCAACAGCGCCTTCCCTCCTCTCTCTCTCCCTCCGCCCCTCCCCTCTCGCCTCACCACCACAAGCCCCCGCACTGCCAAACCCCCTGTTTCTCTCTCCTTCCAATAAGCCCCATGACAGCTCCCATGACGATCCCACTGATCAGCCCCACCCATCCCATCGCCCACGCTTTCCCAGTGGGCCCATCTCAGCCGTCCGTTCGGCCTCTGCTGCCCTCCTGCCCACCTCCTCCTCCTTCTCCCACCGCTCCCCATCTGTCCGCCCTGCGTCCGTCCCTCACCTGCCCTCCTTCTCCTCCTTTTCCCACCATTCCTCCGCACCCCCCAACCCCACCCTCGCTCCGCAACTGCCCTCCTCCTCTCATCATCCCTCCGCCCCCTCCGCCCCCTCTGCTCCCCAACTGCCCTCTTTCTCCTCCCTATGGCTGCAAGCACATGCCGCCACCCACACTTCTCCCCATAACCCCAACGCTCCTTACAGTCACACCTCTGGTTACCACCAGCCTACCACTGGAAGCCCAGGGCAGGGGTTAATTCCATGGAAGAGCCCTACAGGGCACGCACGGGAGGGGAAGCACGAGAATGAGGGCGAGGGGAGCCCTTCTGGCCGAGCGCCTTGCTTCCAGACGGCGGGAATGAAGGGTGAAATGACGCAATCCGTGTTGGTGGATTCACACTCCCTAGGGTCACATCATGTGACTTCGTCAGGAGTTTTTGCTGCTGCCGGTGCTGCTGCTGCTGCTGCTGCTGCTGCTGCTGCTGCTGCTGCTGCTGCTGCTGCTGCTGCTGCTGCTGCTGCTGCTGCTGCTGCTGCTGCTGCTGCTGCTGCTGCTGCTGCTGCTGCTGCTGCTGCTGCTGCTGCTGCTGCTGCTGCAGCCACTGCTGCCGGTGGTGCTGGCGGTGCTGGTGGTGTTGCTGCTGCTGGTGCTGCTGACACATGTGGTTCCAGAGGGGACATTACTCCGGACGTGAGTCAGCTCTTAAAGAGGATACGGGTGGAGTGGAGCACCGGTAAGGGAGACATAAGAACGGAGGATGAGTCTCAGAGGACCAGGGCTCTTGCGCTTAGGGGCAGGAGGGCAGGAGCGGAAGGGGAAGCAGACATGGGTAGTGAGCGAGCGGGTGAGAAGCGGGGCGAGACGGGGGGCGAGAGGGGGGTAGAGTGGAGTGGTGAGAGGGAGCAGGAGAAGAAGGCTGTGAGTACGGTGGGAAGCGGTGCTAGAAGGCATTTATTTCACGGTGGGGTTGGTTGCGGTGAGGAGGATGGGAGACCGCTTGTGGACAGGCAGCAGCAACAACCGCAGCAGCATCCGCAGCAGCAGCAGCAGATGGTGGCAGAGGCGCGGACAACCGAACTACAGATACGTCAGCAGGGGATGCAGCAAGAACGGCAGCAGGAGGAGGAGGAAGTACAGCAACCAGGACAGCAGCGGGAGATGAAGAAGCAGGAGCAGCAGCAGCAGCAGCAGCAGCAGCAGCCGGAGAAGAAAAAGCAGTGTGTTGATCTGGAGCTCAGGCTCTGACACGTGGCAACTTGCACCTCGAATCTGGTTCGGCCGCTTGATCACGTGGACTCTGGAGCTAGTCGGAAGCTGAACCGGAAGCAGGACGGTGATTCGAAAAACGAGAGAATAATGTAAGATTAGGAGAATGATTTGAAATTAGAAGAATGGTTTGGTACCGGTAGGAGAAGGCTTGAAAATAGGAAAATGATTTGAAAGTAGGATAGTTCAAGGATAGGAAATTTACTAATTGATGGTAGGCGATGGTTTGAGAAAAGGAAAGCGACTTGGAAGTACATCTACCGTAAGGGAAGGTGGAAGCATATTTGGGTGCTAGACCTACATACAGTGGGTAACCTTAATAACTATGCTCTTCTGCTCTGCTCCTCACACTGCCTCTGCGAAACTAGGGGTGTACCTCGTTTGGGATCAGATGTTATAAGTTAACGAGTCTTGCGGTGCTTCATGGCTGCAGGCCTAAGTAGTACTGTAATGAGATAAGTGACGGGTAGAAGTTCCACTCTGTAACGCCTGATTCCTACCTAGTTCGTAATTCCCTATGCTGCTCACTGCATGGGATGGGACTTCCAAGTCGAAATGACCGTTGAAACATTTCATGCGATGGATGGCTCTGTTGAGAAATTCCCACTTTGTTTTCGCCTTCCTCCTGTCGTGACCCATGTGCGAACCATTTTTGGTAACATGATAGATCGTTCGTGAGAGTGTCGAACTGAGCTGAGTGATGCTGTCGTCTGTTATAGCGAATCAGGCCCGATGTGGATGCGAGCATAAGGCGATTAAATACGATCAACCACGTTTGGGAGCGGTGATTCAAACTGATTGCATTTGATTGAGAAGCAACCATACAAGCACCATATTCCTCCTTTGTCTCTCAAAGGTCCCCGAGATCGAATCCTGCTGGCGGTTGAATGAGGTTTTCGGGATACACGTAGTTGTCAAGCATTCACAGCACAACCCCCTTCAAAGTGGGCCTCCACCTCGCATCACCTTCGGAGTTCTCCTTGTCGCGTCTCCACCATCCATAAGACCGCCTCGCCGCAGCCGCCGCCGCCGCCAACGCATCAGGGTGCTTTCGCCGTCACGCGACTCGTTAGATTCGCTGTACATGCGTTGACTCCCGTTGACTCGTTGACCCGCGCGCACACGCTGCATGGCCGATGGCGTCGTCGCGCCACGTGCTGCGTAACGCGCTCTCCGCGTTCCGCTCCCGCATCCGCGATTCGAGCACTCTCGTCACCCCCCGCTACAAGCACATCCCTCAAGTCACCAGTAGGTCACCCACACAAAGTTCCTTCCCCTCCTTAGTGGATCGAGCCGCGATCTCGCCGCAGTGTCACTACCAGAGCCCCCTCTTCCTTCGTTATAGCACCCCGTTGCCCTCTCCGCATTCGCGCGCTTTCTTCCCTCCCGCTATTGTCACATTCGCGCAAACGTGTAACGCACGTCTGGACGCTATAGTCCCACCCGCGCAGCAGCAGCATTCGCCAGTATGTTGGCGCGTGACGTGGCATCCGGCGAAGAGTACGCGTGAAGGGGTCGCTGTAGCCTCACCGGTGGGCGGCAGTGCCACGTCAGCAGCATCTGCGTCGTTTCATCATGGTGATTCCCTCGCCTCTTCTCCCTGCTTTCTTGCACTCCTGCTGCTCAGATGACCACTCGTTTGTTGCATCTCATTTGTTGCTCATTTGTGCTGCTTGCGTTCTCTATTTCTCAAGCACGGAACAACCGCCCTCACTCCCCTCCCCTCCAAAACTCCACCCCAACCCCACCTCTCCCCTTCCTTCCTCCTCCGCTAATCCCCCTTCCGTCCATCTTCCCTCCCTGTAAATCCGCAAACCTATCCCGTTATAGGCATCTCCGGTTCTTCTCAAGAGACCAAACCAGCCGAACCAACCAGCAAGAACCAGCAGGAGCAGCAGCAGCACCAACCCCAGGCAGACCACCCCCGAACCTCCCACCAGCAGTCGCCGAACCAGCAGAGCCAGCAGGCTCGGCGGAAGTTCGGAGCGAGCGGGCCAACAGGGAGGCAGGCAGAGGCGAACAAGTCCCATCTCATGTACTTAATAGCTGCTGCGCTGGCCATGCTGGGCGCTGCCTATGCCTCCGTGCCGCTCTACCGCCTCTTCTGTCAGGCCACTGGGTTTGGGGGGACGACGCAGCGGAAAGAGGTGGGTTGAGGGGAGGGAATGGGGTAATGAGGGCGGTGATGAGGTACTTGCTTGCTGCTGCGCTGGCCATGCTGGGCGCTGCCTATGCCTCCGTGCCCCTCTACCGCCTCTTCTGCCAGGCCACTGGGTTTGGAGGGACGACGCAGAGGAAAGAGGTGCGGAATGGTGTGGTGCATGGGGGGAGGAGGGGGTATGAATGGAGAATGAGGGGGGATGGGAGTGCATGTGCCTCCGTGCCGCTCTACCAGCTCTTCTGCCAGGCCACTGGGTTCGGAGGGACGACGCAGCGGAAAGAGGTGGGTTGAGGGGAAGGAATGCGGTAATGAGGTACTTGCTTGCTGCTGCGCTGCCATGCTGGAAGCTGCGTATGCCTCCGTGCCGCTCTACCGCCTCTTCTGCCAGGCCACTGGGTTTGGAGGGACCACCCAGCGGAAAGAGGTGCGCTGAGGGGGAGGAATGGGGGGAGGAGTGGGGGAGTGCGGGGAATTGATGGGGGAGAAAGGGTACTGAAAGGTGTTTTACTGACCCTCTGCTCTCCCTTTGCGTTTCACTGAATCGCGCAGACGGTGGAGGAGAAGGCGGCACGGCAGAATGCAGACAAGCCTGTCCGTGTGTTCAGAAATGTCAGTGTTGCGCTGTCTTACTCTCGCCCCTGCTCTTTTTCTGCTCCCTTCCTTCCCTTGGACTGAATCGCGCAGACGGTGGAGGAGAAGGTGGCACGGCAGAATGCAGACAACACTGCAGCGGCTGCCAGGTACGTTGCTGTTGCTGCTGTCAGGCCACGCGCTCACCTCGCCTCACCTCTCCCCACCTCTCCTCACCTCTCCTCACCTCTCCTCACCTCTCCTCACCTCTCCTCACCTCTCCTCACCTCCCAGTAACTCATGCAGCTCACTGCACTCATGCTTGGATCAATCGCAATCAGGCATAGCAACACGCTGTGGACTCATCCCACTCCCTCTTATCTTCGAAACCCCCTGGTCTTTGCGTTCCTTCTGTGTGCCTTCCTGTCTCCCTGGTTGGGGTTCCCGGTCACGCGGGCACCGCTGGGAGCAGGGCGAATGTGAGTCAACTCAAAAGTCACCTCGAATGAAACCCTGTCTCTTTGCATTCGTTCTGCGTGCCTTCCCCTCTTCCTGGTTGCGCTTTCCATGCCATGCATGCACGGCAGGGAGCTGGTGATTCATTTCAATGCTGACGTGGCAGAGGGGCTGCCGTGGCGCTTCATCCCCACTCAGAGAGAGGTGGGTGTGAGTAACACGTGGCATGCTGATGTGCCACTATAACACCATGGCATCATGAGATGCCTGATGTGGCTGGGAGTCTGGGACTTGCTATAGCATGGGATGGCATGGCATGGCATGACATGGGATGGGATGGGATGGGTAGGGATGGGAGGATCTTACATGGCATACCTATTGGTTTATTCAAATCTACTCTTCGCTGTTGCTTCATCAATGTACCGTATACCAATAGCCACAATTGAATGCTATACCTGCGTGCCTGCGTGCCTCTTGGCATACCTGCGTGCTCCACTCTGCGATGCTGCCACAATTCACTTTGCCAACTCTCCACATGCCATTCGTCCCGAGCCTCTCTTGCAGGTTCGGGTGAGGCCCGGCCAGAGCACCTTGGCGTTCTACACGGCGCACAACAAGAGTGACAAGGCGATCACGGGCGTCAGCACCTACAACGTCTCCCCCATGAAGGTGAGAGCCACTCTTGGTGTGCTGCTCATGGTGTGGCGTTCATAGTGTGCGCCCATGTCTTGAAGGTGTGTGTGCCGCGTTGGCTGTTGAGTCGACTCAACGCACAACAAGAGCGACAGGCCCATCACGGGCGTCAGCACCTACAACGTCTCTCCCATAAAGGTGAGAGCCACTCGTGTTGAACAGCCCGTATCTTGAAGCTGTGCCGCCCGGGTCTTGAAGCTGTGCCGCCCGGGTCTTGAAGCTGTGCTGCCCATATCTCGCAAGAGTGCTTCTGTTTCAACAAGATTCAGCGCCTCTGCTTCTCTTCCACCCTCTTTCCCACTTCTTCCCCTCCTCACCTGCCTGCTACTGCGCCATGCCGCACCCATTTCATCAAGACCCAGTGCTTTCCCTGCCTCGTGTGTTTCTCCTCCCCTTCCCACCCCACCCCTCAACCCCCAACGCCATCAGGCAGGCATCTATATCAACAAGATTCAATGCGTCTGCTTCTCCCCCCCTCCCAATCTCCCTCTTTACAGCTGGGCATCAATGTCAGAAGTATACAGTTCTTCCTCTTTCTCTCCCTCCCACTTCCTTCCCCTGTCACGCCATCAGGCGGGCATCTATTTCAACAAAATCCAGTGCTTCCTCTCTCTCCTTACCAACTCTTGCGTTTCTCCTACCCCACTACCCTCCTCTTCCCTTCCGCTGTCTACCACCCTCTGTGCTACTGCCATGCCAGGCGGACATCTATTTCAACAAAATTCAGTGCTTCTGCATCTCCCCTCCCCCCCACACCCTCATCCCCCTCTTCCAACACTCCCCCACACAGGCGGGCATCTATTTCAACAAGATTCAGTGCTTCTGCTTTGAGGAGCAGAGGCTTCAACCCGGAGAGACCATCGACATGCCTGTGAGAGTGTAGGGTAGGGGTGTGGAATGAAATGTGCCATGTGCCATGTGCCATGCGTCATGTGTCATGTGCCATGCCTCATGCACCACTAATCCGTATCTTTCCTTGATTTTTCCGCTCATGTCGTTCCTTTCTACCCAGCCAACCATGCACCACCCCATGCACCCCCCCCTGCACGAACCCTCTCCCTCACTCGGTCACCCACAGGTGTTTTTCTACATCGATCCAGAGTTTGCCACCGACCCACAGATGAAGAACGTCAACCACCTCACCCTCTCCTACACCTTCTTCCGCGTTGACTCGCCCTGATTGACTTCTGTTGACTTGTGTTGACTCGTCGTGATTGACTCTTGTTGACCTGTGCTGCTGGCCCGAGGAAAGAGTGTACCAATGAAGTGGCTCCATTTAGTTTGCGTGTGCACAGAATGATTACTAAGTGGTTCTCATGTTTGAGAGAGAGCACAGCTAGACCTCCTAAACTTCACAGACGTGGAAAAACTCGTTACAAAATACATGTGAAAAAATGATACAATGTAATATAATATAAGCCTACTTTACAGGAACTAGCCTCTGAATAATATTATACAGGAACTCAGACCATGTATCTTCAGGTCCCGGCAGGCAGTAATGCAAGCAATCCATCTTCTCAACAAACCCTCTATGCCCATCGGGTCTCAAGGCACTCAATGGATCCACATCCAAGAACACACCCCCCATTGCCTCCACTATCGGCCGCACCGCCTCATTTTGCGCCTTGAATTCCCCCCAATGAAAGGGTAAATCGCTCCCGTTCTGCCGCTTTAAAAGGGGTTTGTTGTAGTCCTTGCAGTTGAGGTGACCCGGGGCCGTCGCCCGGTAAACTATCAGCTTCTCGGGGTAATTATACCGGAGGAATTGCAGCGCGCGCGACACTGACAATACGACATGCCCCGTGGGCATAAAATGAGCGCCTCGATTCAACACCACCACATGAGCTCCCTTTATCTCCTCACTCTCCATCCAAGGCGTGCTAATCCATCTCACCCGCTCCCTCTTCTCCTCCCCCACAGGCACAAGCCGGCGGTTTGCAATGTAATGCACCACCAGTTTCCCACACCCGGCGCCGGCGGCGTCAAATCGGTACGTCGCTCGGGTGATAAACTCTCCCTTCTTCCGCAACAGCTGCCCCACCCACGCTGCGCCGTCCTCTCTGGTTACCACGTTCGCCGGCTTTCGCACGTGTGTTACAATGCTATGCACAAAGGAGATATGTGCTTCGCGGGTAAGTGAGTCTCCGACAAAGGCAATTCTCAGCCCGCCGACCCTCCGCCGAGCCAGCTCACACAGAGCCCGCCCGTCGAACCTAGAAAACAGCTCGTCAGGTTCGGAAACCTCCGAACCTGGAATGGCCTGGGCTCGGGCGCCTTGCTTTGCACGAACCACACGCGGACACCTGTCCTTAGCAACCCCCCACTGGTACTTCAACGCATCCCTCACCTTCCACGCCTGCTCCCGCTCCTCCCGACCCATCTCCCGATCCAAAGCGACAGCGTCGGCAGCAGCTCCGGCCAAGCCGCCGTTCTCCCGGACATGAAACAAGTCGCAGTTGTCAAAGCCACGTTCGGCCCAGGGAAGCACACGCGGGGTGGCGTTGAAACGCCACTCCCCCCTTTCCGCTACACACGCCGCCCACCGCCGAAAATCCGCCACCTGCCCCGTCCCCTTCTGCAGCCTCGACCCCGGGATGAAATCGCTGAAATCCCCTAATCTGCTGATCCCATTTCCCAGCATTGACCCCTGAATCAAGTCACCGAAATCGCCGAACCTGCCGGCAGCTTCGGCGAAGTCACTGGGATTGTCAGTAGGAGGCTCGGGGGTTGGCTGGAAGGCGTCGGGAGGAAAGAAGATTGCGGGGATCCCTGTGAGGGCCAGCAGGGTCGGGTTTCTTCGGACTGTAGCGAGTACTGTAGCGTACACCTCGTCCACGTGGCACTGTTCCCCCGTGCTCTTGTCCAGCCACGTGAGGTCGCACACGCTCAGATAATGCCGAATCCCGAGCCGCTCCGCCAGCTGGCAGTGCCACGTGGCGGCGCTCGGTTGGCCGATCAGAGCCGACTCGGCCGCTGCTTTCTTGTGGTAGGGCGAGCGGAGGAGGAGCGAGAGGGGGAGGGAGGAGCGGGGGCGCGTGACAGGGTAGGGAAGGAGCTCTATGAGGGTTGAGTTGAATGGCATGAAGAGGAGGTTGGTGAGGGCTGGTGAGGTGGGGCCCACCAGCAGAATGGCCCTTGAGAACAACGCCTTGGCTGCAGGGGGGAGAGACAGAGGGTAGGTGGGGGAGAGGAGGGAAGTTGAGGGAAAAGGAGACAAACACGATACAACTGAGAAATAGAAAGATACAGAAAGGAAGGTATGCGCAAGAAACACATGCCTGGCTGCCTCCGTCTCACATGCCTGGCTGCCTCTCTCTCACCCACCTTGCAGCAGTGGCATGTGCTCATCGTATACAATCACCCTCCCATCCGAGAACAGCTCCTTGAGCATCGCTATAATCACATGCATTGCTGCCTCTGTCTCCCTCACTCCCTCCCCCCCTCCCCCTCCTTCCATCACGTGCGTACTCCACACCACCGACACCACCACCACCCAATCCTCCGGCAGCGCCCGCCCCACCACCAGCCCATCAGGTGAATCTTCAGGTGAAACTTGAGGTGAATCTTCAGGTGAATTTTCAGGTGCCCACACTTGCAGGGGCGCGGGGAGGCGGGGCGTCCAGTCGGGCGAGAGGATGGGGAGGCCGTGGGGGGGCAGCAGGTGGTAACCGCGGAGGGCCAGCCAGAGAGCGTCGGGGGCGCGCGGTGGAGCGGAGTGGAGTGCGGTGAGAGAAGGTGTCGAGAGGCCGCAGAGGCTGGGGGTGTGGATGGGGAGGAGGAGGGTTCGAGCGAAGAAGAGGTGGGGAGGCATGCCGGTGGTGGTTGTGTCAGGGCCACTGCCTGGGTCGTTGTAAGAGCCGTCGCTGCTGTAGGTGTTGTGAAGGAGGGCTGAGGGGTGGTGGATGGCAAGTGGGGCGAGGTCCACACCAAAGATATCCGGGCCGAGATGCGACAGCAGCTGATTCATGGAGGGGGGGAGGAGGGGAAAGGGGAGGGGTGAGGGGTGAAAGGGGAGTGACGCATAGCGAGTGGGGCGAGATGCGACAGCAGCTGATTGATGGAAGGGTCACGGGGGGGGGGGGGGGGACGGAGAAAGGGGAAGGGGCGAGAGAGAACGACAGCAAGGGGGGGAATGAGCCTGAGAAGCGGGCAGCAGCAGGCGTGACTTCTTTCTGGGGCGCCTGAAAAGAGTTCCCTTAACACACCGCCCCTCCCTCAGTCCACGCGACTCACATGGCGGTGATTCAGCAGAAAGGGGAAGCGGCGGGCGGTGGGAATGAGGGAGGAGGCACAAATGCTGCTCTGCGGCTTTACTGCTGAGTCCCTACTGCTCTACTGCTGCTCGCACAACGCCCCAGCGCCCTCCCCTTCCCCCGACTCACATGGCGGTGATTCAGCAGCATGGGGAAGCGACGGGCGGTGGGCATGAGGGAGGAGGCGAGCAGGAAGAGCACCGGCAGCAGCCGCACCAGCCCCCTCGTCCCCCCACTGTGCACCCTCGCCTGCTCCACCCACTCTCCGCCTCCGCTCCCCTCGCCCCCTCCGCGCCCCTCGCCCCCACCCTCCTCCTCCTCTGTCTCCTCCTGCTCGTACGGCAGCAGGTTCACCAGGTGCTCGTGCACGCTCACAGGGGTGCCTGGGGGGAAGGAGATGAGCTGCACGGAAGGGAAGGGAAGGGAAGGGAAGGGAAGGGAAGGGAAGGGAGCCATGGCACGGCGGACAAGACGTTCAGGTTCTTTCTCCTCCTGCTCCTGTTCGTGGCAGCAGGTTCACCTGGCTGGTGCTCATGAGCATTTTACATCGAGATTTACTCGACTCTCTTTGGCTTGAATTGATCGAGTTTCGAGCAAAGTCGGTTAAAATCTGAATCAGATGTTTTTTTACTCGACCCTGACTCGTTACTCGGCTGAAAAAAGGTAAGGTAATTTTTCTTCAGGGCAGCTATACCTTTACTCGACTGAAGTCGCGTAGAAGTCAACTTTCATTCAAGGTGAGTATTATTTCCTGAGAACACACGAGACGCTGCTACATGTTACATGAAGTAAACTCTCACCTTCTTCAGCTCATGTTTTGAGTCGACTCAAAACACGACTCCCTGCCTCTCACCTTCTTCAGCTTCTGCGCTGCTACATGTTGCCTCTTCCTGCCACCTCCACTCATGCTCACGCACGCCCCATGCACGGAGAACACATGGGACGCGTTGAACACAACACCCCTCCCATCCACAAACACATCTCGCAGCACCACCACCCCCCCTTGCCCCACCACTCCTCCCATCCCCACCTCCATCCACTCCCCCTTCTCCTCCTCCCCCTCCTCTCCCCCCTCGCCACTCACCACCCGCGCCCCGCGCTCAGCCTCTATGAAGTTAATCGCCTCCTGGGTACGTCTAAATACCTCCTTAGTATCCAGCTCTAGCCGCTCCTCCCCTGAAATCTCATCTTTCACAAGCCCCTGCTTCTCCCTCTGCTTCGCCATCTCCTTGCACTGTCGCTCCTGCTCCGCCCGCAGCCCCTCTTCCACGAATTCCCGCACCTCGTCCTCGTCCAAGCACATCTCGCCACGTGTCACCAGGGGGCGCGGCCAGAGCCACTTCCAGTGCGCGCAGTCCTGCTGCACGGCCACGCTCCTCCCACCTACTGCAGCACCGCCGTTCCCACCCGCCCTGCCGCTCCCCCCACCCACTGCGCCGCCTCCCCCGCCCGCCCTGTCCGCCAGAAACTGCTGCATGAAGCCAGACAGCCCCGCCATAATCGCGCTGCTACTGCTCCTACTGCTCTTGCTGACTGGAAGGGCAGCAGTGGGGGTATCATCAGCTGCTCTGGGTCGCCACACGCACGCATGGATCTGCGGGGAGGGTGCGTCAGGCGAGAAGAAGCCCCATGGCTGAAAATCCGGACACACTCCTGGTGTTGGTTCCGGTGCTGCTGCTGATGCACTGCCGCCCGCCTGCTGCTGCTGCTGCTGCGCTTCTTGCTGCTGCCGCTCCCACTGCTGCTGCTGCTGCGTTCGCTGCCATTCCAGCTGCTGCGCGGATCGCGGCGCGCGAATGAGGTCGGCCAGAGGCAGCACCGCCAGGGACGATCCCTCCACCGCCGCCTCTAACGCCGCCGCCGCCCCCGTCCGCTCCCGCTCAACCCGCGAATCCCGCGGATCCCCCTCCCGCTGATCCCGCGGATCAAGCTGGTCCCGCGGATCTTGCAGCTCCGCCTCCTCCCCGTGCTGTGCCTCGTTGCTCCTGTCGCGCCGCCGCTGTCTGCCCGGTTCCGCTGATTCAGCGGGCTGCGGGCGGAAGCGGAGCAGCGGAGCAAGATTTTGCGGAGCTCCCGGAGCGACGAAATCCGCGGGCTGCGCGCGCAAGGGGAGCCGCGGAGCAGAGTCTGGTCGCAACGTCCGCGCGGGTCTATGCTCGCTGCTGGGCGCATGCGATGCTCCGCTAAGAATAAACCCGTTTGCGCTACAGAAAAGCTTAGTGCAGTGCAGGGAATCGTTAGAACGCTCTGGATGGTGCGGCGTGAGGAGGAGAATGATGCAGGTGAGGAGAAGGGAAGCCTTGACCCTGCCGGGATGGCGACGGCTCGATTGCGGATATCTCCCGGCCATGTTGGAAAAAAACACGGAAAACACGTGTGGACTATACTCGATGGGGCGTGAGGACGAGAATGATGCATGTGAGGAACAGCGAAGGCTTGACGCTACCGAGATAGCAACGAAGTTGTGTGTATCTCCCGGCCATGGCGGAAACGGCTATGGAGAACTATCTAGATTGGTCGTAAGTTACGCATAGCTTCGGAATCAGTTTGCACGTCTCTTTTAGATGAAAAGATAGTTCAGTCGCGTCGGCTGGTTTGGTCGCTGCGATTGTCGCAATGCAATCGTCGCTCTCGCAACAGGCGGCGCACTGTGCGACGGAACAGGACACGGCGACCGTTGGGATCTGAGGAGACGCATGACGAACAATTAGCCCGATTACATAGCGTCTAGCCAAGCTTCGCGGTCAAGCTTTATGAAAGAGGTGGGGTGGAGCAGATAAATGCGTGGTCGGTCGAATTGTGGTGGAGCGAGCTTCGAAGGTCAGCTGTTCTGAGCACACTCGGCCATTGAGGAGCATTGCAGGAATTTCACTGGTGTTTGGCAAGCGCGGTTGAGTACGATGCTGTGCGGTCAGACCACTTAACCGCATTGAACCGCCACTCACCTGCCTGAACATTGATACGCAACCTGCTGATCGGCTTTGACGTTTCTGTTATGCTTTGCCGAGAAATGGTTGGTTGGTGGTCGTCAGAGCAACACACGTGGTCGGTTAGGAGGTTCTCCCTTTCCCACACCAGCTGTCTAGAAACATCATACACTGCTTTCAATGTATACTTTATCTTAGACATAATAATTTCCAGGTCTGAATTGTTATACCCTGCTCCTAGCTACTAACCATCACCTACACGAACATTGATGACGACTACAACATCTTAAATTTTTATTCCATGATTGGATGAACACCAAATAATATTGGGTATGTCATCCAAATTATTATTGAGGTGGGAGCAGCCTCATGACAATATTGTAGATGAACTGGGACCATGTATCCTCTGGTCCAGGTGAGCAGTAGTGTAGGCAATCCAACCTTGTGCCTCCCACGTCCCCCCTGTGCCCATCTGGTCTGAGAGCAGTCATAGGATCCACATCCATATACACTCCCCCATTCTCCTCCACTATCGATTTCACCAGCTCGTTTTGAAGCTTGAAGTTGCCCCATTTGTAGGGCAGCTGCTCTGGGTCCTGCCTCTCCTTTATAGGTCGAGTGTGCTCCAAGCAGTTTAGATGGCCTGGTGCAGTGGTCCTGTATATCACGAGCTTGTCGGGGTGATTATATCGAATGAAGCGCATCATCCGAGTCACCGATTCCACCACGTTCTCGTTCACCTTATAGTGCGCCCCACGATTGATGACCAGCACATGGGAGTTGCGTACGCCAGGAACCTCCATCCAAGGGGTGTTGATCCATCTTATCCACTCCAGCTTCTCCTCATTCACAGGAATTAGTCTCCTGTTTGCCACGTAGTGTACACTCAAACCTGGGCACCCAGCTCCCTCAAATGTATACTCCATACAAGTCAGGTCCACCTTTGATCCGAGAATTGTTGTCCACGTCATACACTTGCGCCTCGTGATAACGTTTGCAGGCTTCGGGATGTGCTTGACAATGTTGTTCACGAAATTCACGTGGGATTCCCGAGACAGGGAATCTCCGAGAAACGCAATCCGCAGCCCGCCTTTTCTCCGCCGCGCCAGCTCACACAACCCTCGACCGTCAAACCGCGAAAATAGTTCTCGCGAATCCAGCACCTCGGAACTAGGCACGGCCAGCTGCGCTGCTGCGAAGCCAGTAGCCTTTGGACACTTGTTCGTTGGGACCACCCACTCGTACTTGAGCGAATCTCGAACCTTCCAATCAGCTGCAGCTGCTGGCCCGCGTGCCGCGACCTTATCCGCTTTGGTCGACGCGATTCCGCCTGCGGCCTCCCACTCCGCGTCGCACTTCTCGACTCCGTGATCCGGCCACGCCAGCACCCGCGGAGTAGCGTTGAAACGCCACTCCCCCCTCTCCGCTACACACTCCGCCCACCGCCGAAATCCCGCCACCTGCCCCGTTCCCTTCCGCAGCCTCGACCCCGGGATGAAATCGCGGAAATCCCCTAATCTGCTGACGTCATCAGGGGGGAAGGTCACCGGTGGTAACCCTGTGGCTTCGCGCAGCACCGGATTCTTGCGCAGGGACGCGGTTACCATGGCGTAGACCTCGTCCACGTGGCACATCTCGCTTTCATCCATGTGGTTCCTCCCGGGATCGCACACGGACAGCAGGTGATGCACACCCACGCGCTCGGAAAGCCTGTAGTGCCACGTGGCAGTGCTCTGTTGGCTGGACAACTTCCCACCGGATTTCCCAGCTGTGCTCTGCTGCAAATCCGCAACCTTGCTCTTGCTAGAATCTGATGAGCCATTGACAACGTACGGTAAGATCTCGATAACCGTGGAGTTAAACGGCATGAAGATGAGATTCGAAAGCGCAGGGGACGTGGGTCCCACCAGCAGAATCGTTCGCGAGAACAACGCCTTGGCTTTCCTCAGCGGCAGATGCTCCTCGTACACCACCACGCGCTCCTCTGAGTACAATTCCCGCAGCATCCCCGCAATCGCCTCCATCGCCTCCTCCGTGTGCCGCGTCGCCGCCGTCCGCGCGTTCCCGTCGCCCACGCCCCCGCCGCCGCGATCCATCACGTGCGCGCTCCACACGAGCGACACCACCACCACCCAGTCCTCCGGCAGCGTCCGCCCCACCGCGAGGTGGTGCAGCGGGTGCAAGGCCGGCGGAGCGGATTGCGGGGAAGAGGCGGGTTGCGCGGACGCGGGGAGGCGGGGGGTCCAGGCGGGGGAGAGGATGGGGAGGCCGTCGGGGGGCAGCAGGTGGTGGCCGCGGAGGGCCAGCCAGAGGGCGTCGGGGGCGCGCGGGCGGCCGGAGGAGGAGAGGCCGCACACGCTGCTGGCATGCACGGGCTGGGTGGGGGGGGAATGGGAGAGGGTGGGGGGAGAAGAGGGGGAGAATAGGGGAGGATGAGCAATGGAAGGGAGCAAGGGTGCGCGGGCGGCCGGAGGAGGAGAGGCCGCACACGCTGCTGGCATGGATGGGCTGGGTGGGGAATGGGAGAATGGGAGAGGGTGGGGGAGGATGGGAGAGAATGGGGGGAGAATGGGAGAGGATGGGGGAGGATGGGGAGAAGAGGGGGGGCAAGGGGAGAGTTTTGAGACGTCTCAAAACACTTCTTTTATCACGAGGCCGCACACGCTGCTGGCATGCACGGGCTGGATGGGGAATGGGAGAATGGGAGAATGGGAGAATGGGAGGATGGGAGGATGGGAGAGGATGGGGGGAGAATGGGAGAGGATGGGGGGAGAATGGGAGAGGATGGGAGGATGGGAGAGGATGGGGGGAGAATGGGAGAGGATGGGGGGAGAATGGGAGAGGATGGGGGGAGAATGAGGGAGAATGGGGGAGAGGAGGCGTGGCAAGGGGAGAGAGAGGGTGAGTGGAAAGGAGGTCCAGATGGGGAATCACATGTTGGTGGAAATGAGGTATCCGCGCATACACAAATCAAATATACACACGAAGTGAACACAGATGGCATGCGCACCATGAACAGTGCCTGCACGTACCATGAACAGTGCCTGCACGTACCATGAACAGTGTCTTGGCGTAGAAGAGGTGGCGATGGCCGTCGCCGTGCTGCCTGCTGGCCGGGAGGTGGTGCACGGACAGCGACGCCAGGTCCACCCCGAACATGCTGCCACCCAGATGCTCCAGAAGCTGAATGTGATAGATAGTAGCAGGGGAGGGGGGGAAGAGGAACGGGAGGAAAGAGAAAAAGTGGTTGATTAGCCGAGAGGTGGTGTACGGACAGCGATGCCAGGTCCACCCCGAACATGCTGCCACCCAGATGCTCCAGCAGCTGGATTGCAAAACGAGAAAGAGAAACGGGAGGATGGAGAATAAGTGGTTGAGTAGCATGGCGCGGCTGTTCTTCCGCTGTCTGCGAGTAGCCATAGCGAATGGGTGCAGGGAGTAAGAAGAATGAGGTGGTGTACGGACAGCGACGCCAAGTCCACCCCGAACAGGCTGCCACCCAGATGCTCCAGCAGCTGAATGAGATAGCAGCAGGGGAGCAGGGGAAAAAGGGAGGGGGGGGGGGGGAGAGGAGGAAAGGGGGAGAGGGGAGAAGGGAAAGGGGAAGGGGGGAGAAGGAGAATAAGTGGTTGTTTGGAGTGGGCCAGCCAAGTTTCCGCGACCTGTTTGTGATGACAACAACTTAGATGCAAAGACTTTGACGAAGCTGGTCACTAGGTGTTGTTGCCGGGACTCACATGTTCACTCCGCAGCAGCAGGGGGTATTGCCTCGCAGCGGGCATGAGTGCAGTCGCGACCAGGTACAGCGCGGGCAGCAGCCGCGCCAGCAGCCGCTCCTTTCCGTTGTGCAGCCGCGCCTGCGCCACCCAGTCCGTCCCCCGCAGCCCCCGCTCCGCCATCTCCGCCTCCTCCGCCTCTTCCGCCTGCTGCTCCGCCTCCTCCTGCTCGTACGGCAGGAGATTCACCAGGTGCTCGTGCACGCTCACGCGGGTCCCCGGTGCAAAGGAAATCGAATCTTTCAGCGCTTTCACTGCGCCGCCCTGCCGGTTCCACTGGCCCCGCCCGCACGCGTCCACTGCAAACACGTGGCTCTCGTTAAAGACAGTCCCTTTAGAGTTCACAAACACGTCGCTGAAGCGCAGCACTCCGCCTCCCCCCAGCGCGCCCACTTCCCCCACCTCGTCCGCCTCATTCGCCTCCAGCCGCGACCGCTGCTCCCCGCGCCGCTGCCCCAGCGCCGCGCGCACGCGCTCCATAAGCTCCGCCGCGCCCACGAGCTCGGGCAGTTCTTCCTCGTTATTGTCATCCTCGTTAGAGTCATCACCGTCCACTTGAAGCTCGTCCGCCTCGTCCACGCAAACCTCTCCGCCCGTGACGAGCGGTCGCGGCCAGATCCAGCGCCGATCGCGGCACTCGTTCTCAGCCGCGCGGCCTCTCTTGTCTTCGAGGAAATCGATCATAAACAGCCGCAGCGCGACGGACGGGGAGGACGCGCTTGCGGGGAAGGCGGAATCCGGTCTGCTCCACTTACAGGCGGAGATGTGCGAAAGCGCGCCCCTCCAGGGTTGGAACTGCGGGCAGGGTGTGTAACCATCTGGTTCCGCGGATGACTGTTTCGCGGCGGCAGCGGCGGCGGGTTGAGCCTGCGCCGCGCCGCGCGGGCGGACGAGGAGCATTTCGCTGAGCGACGCGACGCTCATCGCGGCGCCGTTGAGGGGAATGCGGAGCTCGGTTGGCGCCTCCGTGCGCTCCCGCTGCGCCAGCTGCGTCGTTCCGCCGCCTCTGCGCGGGGCTTGCGGCCGTTGAGCGGCGCGGAGAGTTGCGGCGGCATTCAGCTCCGCCTGCGAGAACTGGATTCGCCGAAACTTCGTTTCGGTATTAGGGTTCGGAACGGCGGCGGCGTCTGCTAGGTTAAGGCACCAACTAGAGGAGTCTAGGGTTAGTAGGAGTGAGGAGACGAGGAAAGGGAGCACGAACAGCGAGAATTTGTGTCGAAGTATTCTTATAACGTGGTCTGCCATATCTTGCATGAAAGAAATTTCAACGTATAGCCTCCAGCATGGGAAGGAAGTATCTAGCAGAACGGAGATGAAGCTTACTATTAGTCTTATCCTAGTTTCGATGCAGAGGTTTGTGCACCTATTCTCGAGCGACCTTCGGAAGGAGACGTTTGGGAAAACTAGGCTCCTGGTCGATCTAAACTGGAAGTCAGCGTGTCGTTCTCTGAGGTGCTAAATTCTAGATAAGAGAGAAACCAACGCAGATGTTGTGCTGGTGGCTGGCTGCAGGAATGGCAGTGCGGGCTGGCTACTATGTGCGCTAATTGTTTGGAGTCGCGTGGGGCGCGCCGCGTGCAGGGTTCGGGGAGGTACATGCGGAGGGGGAACAAGTGTTGTGTTGGAGGAAAACCGGAGGCGTCAGGCTGACCTTGATTTCGCGTTTGCGAAAACTGGCGTCTGGACGAAACGCGTAGGGTGGCCTCGTGAACCGGTGTTTGGGCTTGCTATCTTGTCATTGGTGCAACTTATGACAGCCGAGGCGAACAACATGAACTTTGTCTTCTCGCCCACCGCCGACATGACCCCCTGGGCAGGTTGCGGGAACAACCCACACTCGCGAACGTAGCTGGCGAAACTGTGATCGCTAGGCCGGGATTGTTGGCGAACAGTCCCACATGATGGAGTACTCCCGCCAGGTAGTGCTGGCCCTCCCACTAGGCCTGCGAGCCACACTCGCCAACCATCCCCCACACTCACACCAGCTAGTGACAGGACTCAGGTCGGGGGATAGGTTCGAGAAGTTCACTCTCTGTTCAGTACAAGCGGTTTCACACGATATTGTGCATTCAAGAGCGGTTTTCTCGCTTAACCAAAGGGAACTGCTACTAACCAGAATGAATGAACATCTTCGATAGAACTGTAAAGGAGCTTCAATGACCCGCCCTCGTACATTTTCAATAATAAGAGTTCATAATAATTTTCGCATTATGATATTATTTTCTGACAAACCTTCTACATCAAGTTTGACAGCACTCATCACCCCCACTTCATGTAACTTGAGATGGAAGCTGGGCTAATTGGCTTATGTCATTCCCGCCTAGAAATGCGGACAATGCTTGTCCAAGAGCGGGTCATTCACTGTTGGAAACAAGTAATTTAAGCGCTTCTGTTGTGTGTCGAAACACTAAGTCGTAAACGAAGCGAAGCACAACGAAGCATCGGCGAGTCAACCTTTGGAGGTTGAGAAGAAAAGCAACTGCTGGAGGTTACGCGAAAGTCAAATGTCAGCGACCTTTGACCTGACAATACAGCGCGACAGCAAGGACAAACAACTGACTCGCTATTGAGAAATTGCCCGAGTCGTCACTGTATCGAACCGCAACAGCAACAGTAAAACAGTTTTTAGCTGTATCTCTTCGTATTCCTTGTACTCTTATAAAAACCTTGTACCTCTTTGTTTTAATTAATCTACTTTGCCCTCACATACCAGCGCAAGGTGGTTCAATACTTCTTATCAAAACGCTTCCGCAACTACAACATTCCTACCCAGAGTTTAGCCCTGCAAAGATCCTAAGGGCTTTTCTCAGCCCAACATGGTATGAGAGCTATCAGGGCAAACTCAACTACTTCCAAAACACCTACAACATCAGAAGGCATGGCAACGCAGAAGGAGAGAAGCTCCTCTAACGGCTCTCCCGGCACTACTCCTACTCCACCTCCTGCCTCTGGCCTACAGACAGAGGAAGGCACGGCAACAAGACCAGCAGCTGGGTCTACTAAAACTCCCGCAAATCAAGACGCGGGCTTCGACCCAAGCATGATGGAGAAGTTCTTCTCCTTCATGTCCTTCTACGAACAGCATCAGCAAACGGCACCTGCGCAGTCAAACATCAGCAACAACAACAACGACGTCATGCCCATGAGCCTTGACGGTTCATCCTATGCGCGCGGAAACCAGCAGCAACCCACCTTTGCTCCGTACGAGCCCCAGCGTGGCTCCATAAGCTTCGTGCCGCGTCAACAGCCTTCACCTGAACAAGAAAAGACATTGGACGCACTCCAGGTTCAGTCGCAGTTCGCGCACGTCTTAAAACTTCAGACATCAACACCTTTCGACGGAAAGGATTTCTATACCTGGTCATTTGAATTCGAGCTGATGATGGAAGGCGCGCAGATACTTGGATTCTTCGACGGGTCCCTGCCATACCCAACACACGGAACGCAATACGACAAGCAGCAGTACACGTATCAATCAATGATGGCTTACACGATCCTGCTGAGGAACATAACTCCAAATCAGCAGCAGAACATTCGGTTTTATCGGGGATACGGCAACTCCGCCGAGCTCGCGTACAACCATTTGAAGAACCTGTATCAAGCAACAGACAGTGTCAATCAGAGTCGGCTAATGGCACAGCTGACAACAGTGGAAATGAAACCCGGCGAAAAGGGAATGGCATATATCAGCCGTTGTCGCGAACTGCGCGACAAACTCCTTCGATGCGGAGGGTCGATCTCCGAAGAAGCCTTCGTCCCAGTCGTCATCTCCGGTCTCGGTCCTCGCTGGCGCTCCACTCGTGCTATACTCCGAGCTCACGGGAAGATCTCCGAAGCGACACTTGTCAGAATGTTATAATTGTCTAGCCTGCAGTGGGGTACTCCATAGTGAGTACAGCCCAATTAGGGTTTGCTATATGTATCCAACTGCTTGCTAGTGAAACCTCCCTCCTTTCTTCATTCTTGTTTCTCACTTCTAATTATGACATGGTTTCAGAGCAGGTCGACCCCCTTGGGTCGATCCTGTGGGTGGGCCCACCACCTAACTGCTTCCGCTGCTGTTCTGCTTCTCGCGTGCCTCGGGCGCGCGCCGTCTTCTTCCTGCCGTGCGCTCGGGGCGCGCGGCGGTTTTCTGCCCGCCGTGCGCCTCGAGGCGCGCGGCGGTTTTCTACACGGTGGATCCGCGCGCGCCCCCCCTGCCATCCCGTCGCCATTCGTGGCGCCCTCTCCCGTCGCCCGTCGTGGCGTCGCGGGGGCCGCGCGTCCCCCCCATCCCGTCGCCCGTCGAGGCGCCTAGGGGGCCGCGCGTCCCCCCCCTTCTGTCGCCCGTCGTGGCGCCACGGGGGCCGCGCGTCCCCCCACCCGTTCGCGTCGTCACGTCGCGACGCTCTGGGGAGCCGCGCGCGGCCCCCGATTCCCCGTCGCGCTGCCTAGGAGAGCCGCGCGCGACCCCCCGCTGCCCCGTCGCGCCGCCCTGGGGAGCCGCGCGCGGCCCCCTGCTGCCCCGTGGTGGCGCCCTGGGGGCCGCGCGCCGTCCCCCCCGCCGTCCCCCGCGCTCCTACCCCTTGCAACCCGTTTTAGGGTTTGGGGGTGAGGAGTGTGGGGGTGGCGGTTGTGGGGGTGCCCGTTGTGTGCGCCGTCCCCTACTCCTCCTCCTCCTCCGTCTCCCGCTGCTGCAGCTGCCGCTCAGGGGGGTGTGTGTGTGGGGAGCCGAAGGAGTGGTGCTAGGGGGGTGAAGGGGGAGTGGAGCTAGGGGCGCAGCAGTGGGTGTGTGAAAGGGGCGTGGGACTGTTGGGGGAGGTTGTGTGGAGGTAACTGTCGTGTCGCCTACAGCGCCTATAGTTCGTCGCCCTTGCTTCGGTAGCCAGTGAGCCCGTTGCACCAGTCGCCAGTGGGTCCGTTGCTCCTGCCGCTCGTCTTAGCCGCGGAGCCAGTCACTCCAGTAGTCCGTCGCCCTTGCTTCGGTAGCCACTGAGTCAGCAGCTCCTGTGCCCGTGCCTCTGCAGCTTCAGTCGTTGCCTCCCATCTTCTCTCCTTCCACAGTTTCTCCTCCTCCTCACTTGCCCGCTGTGATTACCTCTAGCTTTGCTTATTATTGTGAACTCCTACTATGCCTGCTCATTGTGCTGATTACACCCCACTTTGGCTATGGGGGTGTGTCAGAATGTTATAATCGTCTAGCCTGCAGTGGGGTACTCCATAGTGAGTACAGCCCAATTAGGGTTTGCTATATGTATCCAACTGCTTGCTAGTGAAACCTCCCTCCTTTCTTCATTCTTGTTTCTCACTGCTAATTATGACAACACTCTGCGCCGAAATCCACGCCGAACAACAAGACATGGACCTGCACGAGGAACGACACAAGAAAAGGCATCAGTACCAGAATTCGCATTCCACACCCAACGGCACTTCAACAACTCCAACCGACAGAATAAACAACAGCAGCAGCAGCACGTACCACCATTATGCCATCTCTGCAAGACATCTGGACACCCCCGTACACACTGTCCAAGTCTGCGACAGTCAACGACACCACAACGACAACTCCGACCTTCAAGTAGCCAAGTTGCCTCAACACAAGTGCAACCCACTCCTCAAACTCAAGCCTCGACAACAACGCAACCTGCGCAAGGAGCAAGAAACACCGTGAGCTGCATGGCAAGACTGTCAGACTCCTGCATCACTGAGTCACCACTGCATTACTCACCGGAAGAACAACTTGACGAAAGCACTCCTCGCCGCGAGACACTGGAGCCGAACCCGACATACGCAGCCATCGCCCAGAGCGAGCCGTCCGGGAAAGACACTTGGTTCTTGGACAGTTGCTGCGGACAGCATATGTGCTCCTCGGGTCGCTTCGTTCAACGCGAACATCAACTCCAGCGCGAAGTCGTCATCACCGTTGCCAACAATCAAAACCTGCGCACACGACGGCAAGGAGTTGTTCAACTTCAGTCAAGAGAAACAAACGTGATACTACAGATGTCAAAGGTCTTAATCGCGGAGGGACTCGGCTACAAATTACTGAGTGTCAGTCAGCTGATGGCGAAAGGCATTCATCTCGAAGCAGACAGCACCACCCAAGAGTTCAAGTTGTATCACGGGAAAGGCGGACTCTATATCGGAAAGGCAGTGTTGAAGAACAACGTCTTCGTCCTCGACTTCGTTCCAGATCTTGGCACCGCCGACAGCGACGGAATTGTGACCTTCACTTCCTGGACACATCCCCTGGATCTTGATCCCGA